ATCTAATAGGACAACACAACAACAAGCTATTAAAGTATGAAACAGATGAAGGTAAAAACTCGCTAAAAATAAAACTAAATGTACAACACGGCTTATAGCATAATGTTCTCCTTAAGAAGTTTATCATTTTTGACTTGGATGTTTTAGTGAGTTACTTGCTCGTAGAATAACTTCAGTTTTGCTATCATTCAAAGGCAAAATATTATTATTAGTGGTTGAGTGTTATACAACTTACTCGATCGCTATTTATGTGTTTTCCGAAAGAAATACATTAATCACGATCCCCTCACTGGGAGGGGAGGAACAGGAAGAGTGATTAAATGTAATTTTCCTCCTGAAGGATCCAAACTACTTTTAAGACATGGCGATAGATCGTATCAGCTACCATGCCCTCTAGACATTCCTTAAGTCATAATTTTAGTTTCCGCAATGTCTGCCAACAATTTTTTGTTGGTACACAGGTACGCAATTATATCTGAATAAATTTTTTTAACTGCAGCCAAGTGACCAGAACTCAAGTGCAGATGTTATGCCAAAACTAAATTGTCATGGTTTTTGTACCCATTACAAGCCATTACAAGTCGCTATACATCGGTCGAAAGCCTGAACCAAAGCCAGTGGAGCTTGACTTTTGTTGCTTTCGCTTACAGCATATGCCACAGCTTAGGAATACGTGTTAGTGATGCTCACCAGCCGAAGGAGTTCTACCCACAGATAAACAAGGGCACAGATCGTTAAACATCTCACCTCTAGCAAATACAAAAAACGAAGGCAAATTCCAAGCGAAAATAAAATTATAGGTTTGTTGTTTTTGTCGTTCCCACTTCTTGTGCTGACCGCCAACTATTCTCATAAATCCGTGGGTTTTGAGGGTACGGACGGAGTTTAATGGTAACACGGCTTATGCTACTTGTGGTCAGCAGTTTCATTGAGGATGCCTCTTTCATCAACTTTCAACGCAAAACCTTGAATACCTCATCAAAAATATAAATTCGTAATGGGCACTCAGGAGAATAAGCTAGTGTCTGTTCCCGCAATATTTTTATTTTTACCCACGGAACGGCCACTTCTAATGGCTGTGTCCACTCGTTCTATTTGAATACTGACTAAAAAGCTGCCCAAATTTTGCGCTTCCCAATTCAGCTTTAATGAAGCTGTGGAGCCTTAAAAAATCATTTTATTTCCAGATTATCTTCAGCGGCACCAAAACAGGGAAATGGGGCTACTTAAAGTTCCATCGAATAGGCACAGAAAAGGAAGCTTCTTCTTAGTCAAAATTTTAGAATACCCAGCATAAAGTGAAGACTCAATGCCCTAAAAAAGCGCTCGAACCTATACCTATCGACGATGTTCTAGAATCCATGCTTGAATGAACGTATAAAGACGCCAGTGTCTTTGAGTTATTCCTTATGACCTCTGCCAAGACGATTTAGGCCGATAATAAGCACCAGCTGATCGTGAAAACACGAACCCTGAAATTTTTGGTTTCAGGTGGAAGGAAAGAAGAAGCCAGTTATATCTTGGTTTGTAAGATTACATATCTGCAATAATAGTTGTTCCACAAAGGGGTGATAATGGCGTTTGGCGAGAGCTGCAGTTAAAATATCATATAAAACTACCTAAATAATGTAAAGGCGGTGTGCAATTAACATGTCGATGTCACATCGCCCAAGTAGCAGGTCAGCTAGAGCTGTCATTGTTAGCATATGCATGAATTTGCAGCACACTAAACACAATCACAAGGGAAGAATGCTAAGCTGAGAGGGCATAAGTCGAGTACTTGAAGGCACGTGATAGTACTGAACTAGTACAAGTAGTATCCCTTCATTCATTCCATTGTTGATCGTAGCTGCACATTTCCCTCCACCATAGTATTCGGTTTGCTCATCATTTCCACCCATAGAGCCCGCTCTGTTCCGGTGGCATCCATACCATAGCCCGATTCTACAAAATATCGGTACATGAGGCAACTGATAGATTAATAGAGGCTGAGCAGTGAATCAACTCACTTGAACCAGTGTTGAGGTTGCACCCGCCAAGATACTCGTACTGATTCAGTTTGTTGGCATCCCAGACACTAACCTCTACTCCAATCGAGGGCAGCTGAGTTTTAGCGATTCCTTTGTAGACAAGAGTCTCCTCCCACGTTGGATTGTTGGTCCTTTTCACCACCTTTGTTTTGCGTTTAGAGTCCTTTGGTCTGTCTGGAAGGAGGTACCTGCAATTCCATAGGGCAAATGAGGAGGCTAAAGCGGCACAACTCATGGTGTAGCAATATACTTTATTAGTGCGTTCGCAAAGACTGCTCACGTTTTTACAACAGGATTAACGGCATTTTTTTGTTCCGGCTCTCCAGAGGCGCCCATTGGAACCTTCAATTCAGTCGCATTTTTTATGTAGACGTGGAGTTCACCCAAATCACCCTGCGTTGGTGGAAGAAATTTGAGA